TTGTCGGGTGTGGGAACAAACGCAACGCCAGATGCCCTTGTCTGTCGGTTGAGGCGGTCACAGAGGTGTGATCGCTAGGCAATACCTAACATCAGGGTTGGATGCCAGGTAAGGACAGTGCGAATCAGTCATCAATTGCGTGATGCGACCTGCCAGGCCTATACAGTTTGCCCCCTTAATAGACATCCCGCCCCCTGTGCTGCCCTGTTAGCAAACCTCCTAATTCCGATAATTTACCCTGCATTCTCTTACCCCTGTTGTTCTACGGGTTGCGATCCTTTACGAGCGGCTGCGGTTAATCAAACATATTTGGTCGCCTGGACGGTTTGGGTGCATTTACGGCTTACGAACCATTTGTCGTCAATGTACTTTTACTCAGAGGACCATACTTCCATTTCAAACGACTACAAATTCAACATTTTGGACCAATGCACTTGCGCTTCCCACAGTGGAAAACTAATGATGTGGTTAGATTTGACTTTAGAGAAGGAAGAAAATGTAAGGCTGTTCTTTCATAGCTATCGCGTAGGCCATAGAATTGTAAGCTAACTTGAACATTGCTCAAGACTCTTTCAACATAATTTGGGATTTTCCGGAAAGCTAAAGTCTAGGAAAAAGCTTGAAAGGTGGGAAACTTGGCACATATTTATGGGTGACGCTGGAAGTAACTATACAACACTACCTCTACCACCACTGGGTATGAGTCTGAAAATCTCCCATGAAGTGTTGCGAATGGTTAGAAATTAGAGTCTCCCGCAATTAATTGCAACACCGTGCCTACTTATAATGTTTAAATAGCTTGAAATGATGCATCGAGAACCATCGATACCTTCTTCAGTCAGAACGGCAGCAACACGCGGTAGGCGCACGCCAACATTCAACGTAAGATACTCTCCCACAATCAGTGTCTAATTGAACGTCTACCTTAGTCGGGCAATCTGAAAGCCAAGCAGCCGACTCTTACCAGTCCCATTCCAAGCTCTGAATGCCCAGAATGCGCTTTTAAGTGCGCTTTTTAACAAGTACAATGATCTTCCCATTCAATACAGCGTGCTGAGACTTCGTCTAGGCGGAGTAATTGGCCACGCGGGGAGCGCACTGGTGAACACTCTTCCCAACACCTGGGTCAACGCGTCAGATGGTCGAGCAATCATCACACCAACATCCAACGCACGTGATGAAATTGCAGCAATTAACGACGCGAATATCGGCCATCACGCCAAATTCAATAATCCCTGATGAAGGGGGGGAGCCGTGAATATTCATAGGTATGCGGTAGCATGGCTGCTGCATCCTATAAATACTGCAACCGCATGTTCATGAACCACCCTTATTTGCTTATGTCTCTGATGATGGATTCGTGTAGGAATCCGAAACGTCAGGCTAATAAAGCTCTTGTCCCGGTGATCGTGCTTTCTTCTTCAAGCTTTTAATTAAGTTTAATTTTCCTAAACCTTACTGGCGCATTCGTGTGTCTTGTCCTCGTGTTTCGTAGTAAATTATGTAAGGCGATCGCACCCCTCAGGGAACGTGATCACCCAGCAATTCTTTTGTCATAGGCCTTGGCTTCCAGCGTGCAAGCGCAGCACCGGTTGCTTGCGCGTGAATTCGGTTGTAGAGCGACAGACTTGCGCCGTATCCGCCACACCCTCTCCTCCCTCACTCACCAAACTCCAATGGGACGCCCGGAGGTGGGCGTGGGCGGAGTGGCTGAGTACACACGCCGCACACGCGACCGGGTTCCCGTTGTGTGCTGGCGGTTTAGATCTCATGTGCATGCCATTGCAGGAAGACTGTCAGACCTCCGCCGGCCTCTCGAAAGTGCTTCCACAAATACCGCGTTGTCCTGTCATTTGGCAACCTTCCGAGCCATGACTTTTAGCACGTCGTGGTAGATTCAAACGCGTCAGATCCAGTTGACCTCTCTCTCTCGTTCCTCCGTCTTCCACCCACCAGTCGACTGTCTGAGACTCTCAAACATCTGAAGTTCCGTATATGAAATAAACGCGAAACTGTTTGCTAAAATGTCAGCAAACATAGGCCAAACGCCATCCTGACTTCATATAGACGTGGTAGGTTCAGAATCTCTCGTCTACCAATGATCCTTACGTGAACGCCAGCCACATCCGAGGGCATTAACTCCCTCAGAACTGTGCGGCCTGCGTTGAACAGTTAGTAGTGTTCGATCAACTGCAGTTGTGATGAATTACAGACCGGTGTTAAACTGCATCGAGAACTTTCTGGACGTCTGATGAAATTTCATGTGCTTTTTATGAAGTTCACTCTAAAGGATATGAGGTGACTGACAGATATGCTACATATCAGTACACCTTATTTCACCAAAAGAGCCTCTAACAAGGATTGATTTGTTGCAAGGAGGGATGGTGGTGGTGGT